TAACGGCGGCCAGGACCCTCATTGCTGACAGATCTTTGGGTGCTTTTGTTATAACGTAGTCAACATTTTCTTTGAAGGACAGGCTGCGATCAAACCTAGATGCTGTTGGAAGATACAATGTTAGATAAAGCTGCATGTCTAAGGTTAGGATAGGTGACTTAACTAACTAACTAACTAAACAAACTAACTAAAGTAGATTAAACTAACCTAAACTTAACTTAACTAACTAACTTGCTAAACTAACTAATAAGCTAACTAACTAAATTAAACTAAACTAACTGATTTACTCACTGACTGACTGACTGACTAACTAACTAACTAACTAACTAACTAACTAACTAACTAACTAACTAACTAACTAACTAACTAACTAACTAACTAACTAACTAACTAGCTAGCTAAGTAACTAACTAACTAAGCAAAGTAACTAAACTAGCTAACTAACTAACTATGCTAGTTAAACTAACTAATTAACTAACTACCTAACTAAACAAACTAAACTAAACTAACTAATTAATTAACTAGCTAAACCAGCTAAACTAAACTAACTAACTCTTGTGAATGGGGAAGAATAATCACACATAAACGAATTAACTTACTAAATTATCTAACTATCTAACTAACTAATTAAATTAAGCTAAACTAACTGATTGATTGACTGACTGACTGACTGACTAACTAACTAAACTAACTAACTCTTGTCAATGGGGAAGAAAATCCACACATTGACGAACAGCGGAAATCTCCCTTGTCAAAGCGTGCACCTAACAGAACCGAAGTGTTTCATTTTTTCTTTTAATGTTACTAATACTATTTGTATAACAGGAAACATCTTTATGTGTGTGTTTACGAGAACATGAATATAGGTAGGTAGGGGCTTTGCTTTTGAGAGCATGCATCTTCCCTGTGGCTACATACGGATGTGAGTCGTGGGCTATCTCTCATGCCTTGAGAAAGAGGGTAACCCGGTCGCCGATAAACATGAGTTTGCATCTGAGGAGTTACTATTAGGGCTGTACCGAATATTCGCTTCGTATTCGCTCGGGGCCGAAAGTGAAACCTATTGACTATTCGGCTCTCCCTCGAACGGCATCATAAAATGGCGGCCATAATATGATGCCACATTCTGGAATCCAAAAATATCCGAACGGTGTTCAGATAGGCTAAAATGGACTTTCTACCAAGGAACAAATCGTGGCAAAACTAGATTACTTGACAATCAATATCAACATTGCACACGGTGTAGCAGACGATAAATACCGACCGCTGACAATTTCGAGCGTTGTCTGCAACGATACTAGCGGACGATATGAGCGACCGTTGAATTTCTAGACATTACAGACGATGAAAGCGATTAGCATTACTGTGTTTTTTTCTTATTTTGCAGCGGTAGGCAGACTGTAGTGCATGCGCAAGAACGCGATTAAACTCAGGACCTGCCGAGGGTATCTCCCGGGCCGCTACGCGTGGCGCGGATGGGGGGGAGGGGCTAAACTAGGTGCCCGGGAAGGTAAAGGGAGGAAGTTGCAGGAGATGCTTCAACGCTCCAACATGGGAGAAGAAATACAATCTAAAAATACACTAGAAATAAAGTATCTATGCCCATCAACATCTGCGAAGTGGGAAGATTTAGATTAGGTTATAATTGTGACTAGATTATGTGCGCCATATAAAACAGCCCTGTATTGTACGCCACCAAGAGCCCTGAAAAGGACTCCTGCCTTGTTGATGCGATCAAAGGAGACACCCAAATATTGTCCCGACCGGCGACGAAATCGTCTATCGGCAAGCCAGTTGGTAACCCGGTCGCCGATAAACATGAGTTTGCATCTGAGGAGTTACTATTAGGGCTGTACCGAATATTCGCTTCGTATTCGCTTCGGGGCCGAATAGTGAACCTATTGACTATTCGGCTCTCCCTCGAACGGCATCATAAAATGGCGGCCATAATATGATGCCACATTCTGGCCATAAAATATCCAAAAATATCCGAACGGTGTTCAGGCATATCTAAAATACGGACTTTCTGCCAAGGAACAAATCGTGGCAAAACTAGGATTACTTGACAATCAATATCAACATTGCACACGGTAGTAGCAGACGATAAATACCGACCGTTGACAATTTCGAGCGTTTCTGCAGACGATACTAGCGGACGATATTAGCGACCGTTGACAATTTCTAGACATTACAGACGATGAAAGCGATTAGCATTACTGTTTTTTCCGATTGGAGGATTTTGCAGCGGTAGATGTCAGACTTGTAGGCATGCGCAAAACGCGATTAAACTCATCGCCGAGGGTATCTCCCGGGCCGCTACGCGTGGCGCGGATGGGGGGAGGGGCTAAACTAGGTGCCCGGGACTCAGGAGTAAAGTAATTGGAGGAAGTTGCAGGAGATGCTTCAACGCTCCAACATGTTGAGAGAAGAAATACAATCTAAAATACAATCTAGAAATAAAGTATACTATGCCCTTCAACATCTGCTAAAGTCAAAGTGTCTGTCTCGCAACACCAAAATCAACAGATATAAAACGTTATAATTGTGACTAGATTATGTGCGCCATATAAAACAGCCCTGTATTGTACGCCACCAAGAGCCCTGAAAAGGACTCCTGCCTTGTTGATGCGATCAAAGGAGACACCCAAATATTGTCCCGACCGGCGACGAAATCGTCTATCGGCAAGCCAGTTGGTAACCCGGTCGCCGATAAACATGAGTTTGCATCTGAGGAGTTACTATTAGGGCTGTACCGAATATTCGCTTCGTATTCGCTTCGGGGCCGAATAGTGAACCTATTGACTATTCGGCTCTCCCTCGAACGGCATCATAAAATGGCGGCCATAATATGATGCCACATTCTGGCCATAAAATATCCAAAATATCCGAACGGTGTTCAGGCATATCTAAAATACGGACTTTCTGCCAAGGAACAAATCGTGGCAAAACTAGGATTACTTGACAATCAATATCAACATTGCACACGGTAGTAGCAGACGATAAATACCGACCGTTGACAATTTCGAGCGTTTCTGCAGACGATACTAGCGGACGATATTAGCGACCGTTGACAATTTCTAGACATTACAGACGATGAAAGCGATTAGCATTACTGTTTTTTCCGATTGGAGGATTTTGCAGCGGTAGATGTCAGACTTGTAGGCATGCGCAAAACGCGATTAAACTCATCGCCGAGGGTATCTCCCGGGCCGCTACGCGTGGCGCGGATGGGGGGAGGGGCTAAACTAGGTGCCCGGGACTCAGGAGTAAAGTAATTGGAGGAAGTTGCAGGAGATGCTTCAACGCTCCAACATGTTGAGAGAAGAAATACAATCTAAAATACAATCTAGAAATAAAGTATACTATGCCCTTCAACATCTGCTAAAGTCAAAGTGTCTGTCTCGCAACACCAAGATCAACAGATATAAAACGTTGATAAGACCAGTCGTTTTATATGGCTCTGAAACTTGAAGCAGAAATAAAAGAGAAGAGGCCTTATTACAGGTTTTCGAAAACAGTCTTACGACAAATCTTTGGACCCATCAAAAATGCTAACAGCGGGGAATGGAGTGTGAGAAGCAACAACGTAACACATAATCTGTTTAAATCACCATTGATCACTGACATCATGAGAGCTAACAGGCTAAAATGGTTGAGCATATTGAAAGAATGTCAGATGACAGAGAAGTAAAAACTGTATACACCTGAGAGAGGAATGGACCACGAGGCAGACAAAAAGAAGTTGGAGAGATAATATCCAGCCAGACCTGCAAACAACTGGTGTTACAAATTGTGAAGATAAGGCCAGTCAGAGAGATGAATGGAGTCGAGTGATATTTGCAACAGTAAACCTCAAGGGCTCGGAATGCTAAAGAAGAAGATGACTGTGCTACTTTATGCGAAGTAAAAGTTCAGCGTACATTTGACATTATGAATGCGTGTGTGTGTGTTTTTTTTTTTTTTAAATTATATACACAATACACAATTCGTATTCGTATTCGGCCGAATAGTTCCATTACTAATTATATTCGGCCGAATAGTAAAGATCACTACTCGATACAGCCCTAGTTACTATATCATAAGACAGAAAACTGCTATCTCAGATCATTCCTATAATATTACCTAAGATAGTTTACACAATATGATATCTTTTACATTTACTTAAAAAGTACACCTAACGTACGCTAAAGATCTCGTTAACACGAATTCCACTGGGATAGAAAAAGTTCGTGATATAAAAATGCATGCTTACAAGGGACTAATGTGTAATACTGCGCCTCCCTGCAGGGACCACAACTATGTTAATGTTCACCCAGGGGTCGTCTTAGGCGAGTTTCTGTTAAGGCGGTTTTACTTTTATCACTTCTTCTTTTTCTTCTTCAGCATTCCGAGCCCTTGAGGTTCATTGCTACAGATATCACCCGCCTCCATTCAGCTCTCTGGTTGGCTTTCTCTTTTCAGTTGGTTACACCAAGTGTTTGCAGGTCTGATTGGATATTATCTCCCCATCGTATTCTTTGTCTGCCTTGTTGTCTACGACCATTTATCTCCCTGCACATTACAACGTAATTCCCAACATGAGAAGTTTGCTAGGAAAAGTGTTAGTGTGTATTATAAATCTGAGTTCAAGTATTTAAAATCAATATCCATTCGATCTGATGTAGCAGTTTGTTTGTCCCCCAGGATAGCGTGCTTTGAGTTCATTCAAAGCAGAAGTAGGCTTCTTTTTACCCCCGATCAGATCGGCTTGTAGGTTGACCTAAAAATGGGCTTGTATGTCGACCCAAATATGGGCTTGTAGGTCGACCCAAATATGGGCTTGTAGGTCGACCCAAATATGGGGCTTTCACTCCATTAAAATGAATATCTGTTGTCTTTTAATTTGACGCAAGGTCCTTCAGTTGTCATACGTGAAGGCGGGAGAACATTACATCGCCCATACTCAACATCCGACGATACAAGAAGAAATTAATTAAATCCATGGGTTTAACTTTGCCATCATGACAGAAAGGTAAGGTATGAATGCACGGTGGCCTTATTGTTGCTGCATTCTGATTTCAATCTTGTCTAATAAGTAATGTTGTCTTTCTTTTCCTATTCTCGTCTCATAGTTGTCTAATTCTGGTCTGACAAATCATCTATCATGTAACTAATATCAACCTTTCTGGTTGCATTGTTTGCTCATTATCGTCTAAAAGTTGTCTTACTCTGTTCTCACTGTGTCTCATTCAGGTCTAACAAGTAATTTGTCAAGTAATGTTATCTTTCTGGTCTCAGTGTTGTTGACTCATTATTGTCTCAGTGTTATCTCCTAATGATTTCAGTTCTGGTCTCAGTGTTGTCTCATTCTGGTCTAACAATAGCCAGTTAAGTAATGTTATGTTTCTGGTGCCATCGTTGTCCTATTTTGGTCCCATTGGTCGAGAACCCACAGGGTCAAAGGAATTAAGACAGTCAAAACACGCGGAGAATGGAATTAGACAATGAGATGAAAAACACAAGGGGACATTGGGTAAGCAATATGCCATGGGAAAGGGTAGGAGAACTTGAAATGAGCTGGTTGAAAGCCTATGCTCTATTACACAATTAAAGGGGAAGAGAAAGTAGAAGAAGAAGAATTATAAGGATATGGGGAGAATAGCGAGAAGGAGGAGGAGGTGATCAATGACAGAGAAGAGAAGGAGGAATTAATGGAAGAGAAGGAGAAAATAACAGCAACAATTTTGTTGTCGTTTTTCATTCTTTTTTTCTACGTTCACATTATCTATACCACATTTAACTTCTACATTTCCAGCCTGGTGATCCCCTATAGCGACACAAAGAACACCAAAGGCAGAGACGTTGATGACTGCAAGATCTCCTACAAAAGTCGGTTTAAGATCATGACTTCCGGAGTTGGGCCACCAACAACCAGATTTGGGCAAGTTTGTGTGCGCATGCTTGCTCGCGTGTGCGAGTGTGTGTGTGTGTGTGTGTGTGTGTGTGTATGCTGTGTGTGTGTGTGACAACCCCTCTCGTCTCGTCTGATTCCAGCCTCATATCACCAGTGACCACATGGTAGACAGCGATACAAATGGGAAGTTAACATCAAGAGATATGACTTATCATCAAGAAGGAGCCACAACGAGGCTGAGAGACGCAGCGTGTTAAAGATCCATTGCAACTAAACTTCATTGAGTATCTGAAACCTGACTGACTAACTGATTACAGGCGTTCCAAAATAATTACTATGTTACCACTACAAATGACACCTATTTTGTGGCAACAGTGTTATAGTCTATACTTCCCATTTACGTATTCTTTGAAAATGTCACCTAATTCGGTAGAATCAGTTGAATGGCATAATTTAAACTAGTCTCTCTCCCCCCCCCCCCCCCCCCCACCCTTTTGGAAAAATCGCAATCAGAATATTATGAACAATTACATTTGGGCACCGGCTCTCAACCTGAAGGTCGCGACCCCTTTGGGGGTAAAACGAGCATTTCATAGGGGTCACGTAAAACCATCGGAAAACATATATTCACTGAAGTTATGAAGTAGCAACGAAAATTATTGTGTGGTTTGGGTTGACACCACAACACGAGGAACTGTATTAGAGGATCGCGGCATTAAGAAAGTTGCGAGCCATTGTATTAGGGAATTGTTGAGATGTGGTTTTACAGACGAATTATGATCGCGAGCAGACAAAGGATGCAATGAAGATATTTAGAAAGCAATTGACTAAAAAAGGAAGCGGCTAGACGCTCGCCTGAGGATCAGAAGGTCGTGGGTTTGGTTCCTGGTGAGGGAAGTATTTTTTTTTTTTTCAAAAATGACCTTGTCTCCCATGTCGACCCAGACATGAACGGGTACCAGGTACAGTCCTTGGAAGTAAAGGTGACCGGTGTGCTGCTGACCAATCACCCACCAAGTGCCGTTTGGTATATAAAATATAGGTCTAGCCTTATATACCCAGTACGCTTGTAAGTCGGGGAAAAGGGTCCTTTACTTTACTAGTTGACATTTAAAGAGAACTAATTACTTGTTTTGGAAAATGACAATCCACATTCTTTGGGTCTCATGTGAAGAAGAAAACAGGAATATGCACTGACAACGGGCAGGTTAAAGGGGAACAGAGACTTGGGTAGAGTGGTCCTAGGGTCGCTGATACAAAGACAGCATTGATGGTGCTAGGGGGTGGTTGAAGGCAGGGGTAGTGGGGGGGGGGGGGTAATTAAATCAGATGCGTAGTTGTCTAGAGATTGGGTGCTCAAGGGTCCTGTCTTGTTTAGGTGCATTAAAACTAATATTTTAAAATAATAATATAATAATAGTAATATTATTATTACTATTATTATTATTATCATCATCATTATCATCCCTTAAATGGTCACTTCGTAACTTATGTTTTGTAGTGCCATAGTATAGACTGACCACAGGGCTATACAACTGTAGCTGTTTGATTCTTATCTTTGAGATGTTAATCCTGCATAATGCAAATCTGGAAGAGACAAACTAGTACACACAAGCGTGCGCGCGCACGCACACACACACACACACACACACACACACACACACACACACACATGACATGACATGAAATTCATGCACAAATTGTATAGGGGGTTTGGGTGGGAGGCTTTGTACTGAATTCAGAATTTTTCTGTTTTAAGGGGATTCGACATAACTGAAATGGCGGCGTCAAATTCAGCAGTTGCCATAGATGAAAGGATGCAACGAAGGAGGCAGCAGGGAGAAGACTCGACGCATCATATATCATCTAACCCTTCAAAGTCTTCGAGAAGTAGTAATTCCCTTTATAAAATCGCAAGCGAGAGACGCTCTCGTCGAGTTAAGCTTTACCGCAATGGCGATCGCTTCTTCAAAGGCATGCTGTACGCAGTTTCCAGTGAAAGATTTCGGACTTTTGAAAGTCTACTAACCGCTCTGACCTCAACAGCGGTCTGTGACAAACGAGTCATGCCGAACGGCGTGCGCCACATCTTTTCTCTGGACGGAAATCGTCGGCTACATAGCGTGGAGGAGCTGAGGGAAGGAGAGAGTTACGTATGTGCATCTGGAAATTCTTTCCGCGCCATTGATTACAGCAAAATCGAAGATGCCGTCTGGAATTCGTGTATGTTTCCAGAGCACGGCTCAAATCGCAGTTTAAATAAGGTAAGCCAAGTTAATTTCTTGTTGTTGTTGACAATATGAAAATGGAAACAGCAAGAGGCAGAGGAAATGAGTCGCTGCGCCTTCAGACTTGCCAACATCACAGCACACCAAGCGGCCGAGCATATCCTGGCTCAGTTAATTTCCTGTGCTAAACTACGACGAGTAGCAGTACAAAGCAGGTATTGCCAAAAAAAAGAATAGAAAGTTGTTCTTTTTCTTCTTATTTTTCTTTTTTTTCCGTCTTTTTCTTCTTCTTCTTCTTCTTCTTCTTCTTCTTTTTGCTACACTGAGGGATAGAAGGCTGACTGACTGATATTTTACACCACCAGGATATCACCTCCAGCGATAAATACCCGGTGGCACAAAGTACCACCATTCGGATGAGGAACCGTGGAGAGGTCTCAGAAACCCCGTTTAACATATAGATTAGGTTATAAGAAGGGACCCCTGCAACAGCCGACGTAGCGCTTCAAAGTAACGAAACATTGCGTCTGACATTGGGACGTTTTTTGTTAAAGTGGGATAGAAGGCAGTCGAAGAGAAGAGGATTAGCTCTCTTCTTTCCACCGGTCGTCGGTCAAGAGTTATGAGTTTGATTATCCAGATGGTAGTCTGTTAGTCTGGTAGTCTTAGTTTCAGCTTCATAGCAAACGGGTCACCCCATCTTTGCTCCGCTTCTGTGCCAACGAAAAACACACAGAATGTTTATTACAGTATTAGAATTGCAGTTCACCATTGATTTTAGCAGAAGTCGCCAACAGATCAGCAGTTGCCCACGCGATAAATTTTAATCACATACGGGCACTACAACACTGCACGACAGGCATCGCGCCATTTTCTGAATCTACAATTCACACCAACACGTCCGCACAAGTCAGCAGGTGATCACGTTCTTGACCGCGACATATTCGTCACCGTTCCGGGACTAATTATGCCAAGCTAATTCTGGTTGACAAGACTTTTCCTCCGTCTGGTGTACCTCCCAAAATGATGTCCCTGAGCCCACACGGAGCACAGAACACCGTGGGTTACCTCCCACGTATTGCCGATCTTCCACTGTCCACGCGATGATTACTCTTAGTTAAAAGAACTTGTTTGTTTCTGCAGTTGAAATTATTATTATAATTAATGTTATTATTATTATTACCAATGTTTTAATCAGAAGACACAGAATAAGACAGCAGAAACATCCAGTTCCCAGAACTCGGAGACATTCTCCACGTCCTCTTTACAGAGTCAGCCCAGGCCGGAAAGCGCGCGGGACAAGTGCGCCACAAGCGTGCGTGACAGGAGGACATGTCGGTCACACTCCTATAAGGTGGGTATAAAGGACAGAACCGTCGACATAGCTTAATCTAAATTTTAGAGTTATGGGCCCTTGCCTTCCACATTTTTTTCTGACTAGCATTCACTACCTGTATTCACACGGGCATCAGACCTTCAATTAACTAGAAAGACATGTGCATTTTTCTTGGAGAGACCTCAGCTAAGCGATGTTGTGTGTTGTTGTTTCCAGTTATAATATTTTCTATTCATGATATGCGCTGATAAAGATTTTCTACGTCGTTTGTGACCGAGATAATAAGAAGCTGATGAGTTCTGCTTCTCGTTTGTTTCATGTTTTTTTTTTTAATAATCTAAAGAGGGTAAATGTAGTTGTACACGGATAGAAACAAATACACAGACAGACAGGCAGGCAGGCAGGCAGGCAGGCAGGCAGGCAGGCAGGCAGGCAGGCAGGCAGACGGACGGACGGACGGACGGACGGACGGACGGACGGACGGACGGACGGACGGACGGACGGACGGACGGACGGACGGACGGACGGACGGACGGACGGACGGACGGACGGACGGACGGACGGACGGACAGACAGACAGACAGACAGACAGACAGACAGACAGACAGACAGACAGACAGACAGACAGACAGACAGACAGACAGACAGACAGACAGACAGACAGACAGACAGACAGACAGACAGACAGACAGACAGACAGACAGACAGACAGAGGGCAGCCCTTTAATCAGTGAATCTCAAACGGACAATCTATCTGCTACACAGAGTGACACCAGCGGTTCTGAAAGGAAAGGTAACGAACACTTACAAACAACGATTGTCAGCCCTCGCCTGGTTACACTAGTCAGGAACGGCAGGAAGCCCCGAAAGGTGTTCAGATTTCTGCTTAATAAGAAGACAGCCAAATCTTTCGAGCAGGTGAGTTTACACGTTGTCAAGTCGTATATCATCAAATTCAAAATACAGGATTAGACGTTCACCGGCTGTAAACTCTGGCGGAAGGTTCTGGTTGTTCGTTCACTTCTAGACTTTAGTCCTGTTCCAGAAACTGAGTGTTGCGAGCACATCCGCTTCACAAATCTGACTCATGTGCATGCAAACTGTTGATTCCTTGCCTCTCAGGCAGATGTATTCCGAATTCGAAGGAAGCTCTCAGTTGGTCGACTTTTATGACATGCTTTTGGGTAGGCAGTGGGTTTGTTCTTGTCTCCACCCCCCCCCCCCCCCCCACCCCCCCCCCCTCCCACAACGGGGCCCTGGAACCCACACGGGGATAGAAGTAATCAATATCTTTCTTTGGTCGCTGCATGCAACTGTTGCTCTCCGGACGGCTACCAAAATATTTGACTTCATGACATGACACAATCTTTTTTTTGCAGTTGCAATTTGTCCACTCCATAATTGCACTCCGCAGCATTAATATCTCAAGGATGAGAATCCTACCTGTACAAATTCCAGTATGCCCCGTTGAACTGTAAGGTTAATACTGGGGTTCCCAACGGTTACAAAATAACCTGAGGTCCGAAAACAGGGCAAAGATAGTAATGAGTATTAGAAACATTTGATCTATTTGTCAACAGCATGGTGTGTCTCGGGCAGTATTTCAGCCGTGGCGGGGCCCACTCCTCTCCAGGTACCCTTCCCCGTTAGCCTGTATTATAAGAAATCATGTCTAGGATTGCCCAGACAACATCAGTCCTTGCCAAGCAGCAAACGATATGGAGATCCAAAAACATTTCATGCAAAACTCAAATTCGATTGCTCAGAGCACTAGCTATTAGTACATTTATATGTGGCTGTGAAACGTGGACCTTAACAACTGAACTTGAATGAAAGATACGAGCTTTAGAAATGCAACGTTTCAGAAAAATGCTTGGCATATCATACAGAGACTACACTACAAACGAAGAGATTCGCAAAAAAATTTCCAGCACATTGGCAACTATGAACCTCTTTTAACTACAGTAAAAAGGCAACAACAACAAAAATGCAATGGTATGGACATTTAATAAGATCTAACGGCCTCTCAGAAACATTACAGCGGGGCTCAATATAGGGGAAAAGGAGAAGAGGCAGACCAAGAAGGACCTGGTTACAGAACTTGACTGACTGGACAGACCTCAGGCATGCAGCCATGAAGTCCATCGCAACTGACCGCCAAAGGTGGGGAGAGCTGATCAGACAGTCGACATAAACTGGTGATCCAAAACTTGTGTGATGTCCTAATGGGATACAACAAGAGAGAGAGAGAGAGAGAGAGAGAGAGAGAGAGAGAGAGAGAGAGAGAGAGAGAGAGAGAGAGAGTTATGCAATTTTTCGATGTAATAAAGTCCTATCCCAGACGTAGAGACATGACTACTTATTACCCAGTATCTACGACAAAAGGCAGGAAAAAGGCCAGACGAACATATAACCATATTACGACCGGTACCATTAGTACTGGAGCCTAACTCTTCGACAAAAACAATATTTAGGGACAAGTACCGTCATCATTCTCTGTCCAGGTGATGACAGACATTGCCGAAATGGTCAACTATGACTGCGGACAAGCGAAGAGAGTCTACACCATCTCTGGTCAGCAGGTCAGTGGTATGCTCTTCTTTTGAATTCTAGCAGTGACCATCGCGTAGTTTTGTCCTCTTCTTCTTGTTCTTGTTTTTATTTTTCTTATTCTTCTTCCTTTTTAAGCGTTCTCCCTTAACAAGACTGTTTGTACTTTGTATTGGTTTTTTTTTAAACAGCTAAGCTGTATCGACACAATGCACTGTATTGGAGTAAACCTTTAATTAGTCAACTTTTTCGACATTCTCGGTGGCTGCGGGTTCTCGAGGCATGGTGTCCGCTTCGAAGTGCCAGAGGTTTCGGGTTCAATCCCCTGGCTGTGATTTGTTTTTGAACTTGGACTTCTAGTAATTCCCCTTGGTCTGTGGGTAGTGAGATCAGATGCCCGTGTGCATTGTTGCGCAGGTAGAAAATCTCTTGGCAGTTGGAAATCGAGAAGAGTAGTCTAAAGGCACTGCCCGGCCAAAATCTGAAGTTAAAAAGCTACCCAAAGTATATCAGGATCCTTGCCGGTGCTACAGATCCTGTGCACTGTGCTAAACTTCTTCCTACTCAGACTTGAGTTTGAAGAAAAACGGAGCACTTATGGCTTACTACCTGTGTGCCATGATGTTGATCTGTTGTTCAAACCTCAAACCCTCGACATACTCGTTAAAAGTGTTGAAGGTGTATTTTTTCAAAACAAATTGAAGCTCTGGAACCCTCACGGGCAGTATATAATTTATTATTGTTGACTGTTGGCGTCGGTGGCTTAAAGCTATGAGTTTGTTTTGTAATTATGAAATCCCAGGTCAAATCTAGCTGCGGGCACGTTGGCAGCAGACCACATGTTGATTTCGACAGGGTTTCAGAAAGTCGACCTTGCAGCAAGCAGTGGAAAGCTACTGAACGGAACTGTGGAACTTAGGTTGTTGCAAAGATAGGGACACAACACCATCAGCTGATTCCTTGCCAGCTGACGATGGCGTTCATGCCTCTTCACAGATCCAAGTCTGTAGTAACCCTGCTGTGGATTGTCACTACCGTCTAGGAGTGTAAAACGCAAACGACACACACACACACACACACACACACACACACACACACACACACACACACACACACACACACACACTCAACCATCTTACGTTGTGTCCATGAATATCCTTCAAAGATCACACAACCACAATACATTGATAACTTCTAGACATTAGTAATAATAGGGACCACTTAGCTTCTTTATAATTTTTCTAGAAGGGGTGGGACAGGTAGGGGGGGGGGGGGGGCTCAGTGTGACTCAGTCCAAGGTTCCGGCGCCCCTGGTGCAGTAGTCATTTTATGAATGTGACAGTGGAGTTGATTTGGAAGGGTATGCGCACTATGTACATGGTAGATAAGCCTCGTTATTATTTTAATCACATATGATATGTCCATGCCAGGTAATGTGTCTGGGGGACTTTTTCCAAAACGACACCGTGTTCCTGGTGTGTGCCCAGGACAAGCCTAAAGCCGAAGACTTTCATCTGGACAGCGACGGTGGGTGTGCCTTTACTTGTCTTTGGTTTCGCTGGTTTAGGTAAAATCCCCCGTCCCCCAGTTATGGCTTGCATTTACCCTCCTGCTGTGTAGGTAAGGACTGTCTTTGAGCCCGATGATTTGGGGCCGCATGACTAATAATTAGGACTGTACCGAATATTCGCTTCGTATTCGCTTCGGGGCCGAATAGTGGACCTATTGACTATTCGGTATTCGGCCGAATAGTTGCGGTCGTGCCGAATACGAATAGTAGTTACCTTACACCCGCTTCTGCATAAACTGCCTTAATGCTGACAACATGGAACGATTGGTTTTGTTGAAAGCTAATGCAGCTTTCATGCATTAACTAAGCTGTCAGTGACAATTTCCAAGTTTAGTTACTTGATATAATACTTAGGATTCTTTCATTCCTAGTTATTAGTTACCACAGACTGACTGAAGGATGCGAAAAATAAAATGTTAAAATGTTATTAAATGTTTACTATTCTGTACGAATACTAACTAGACATGGAAAGAATATAAACTCCGCCCACATCCAAGTCGATAATATGAAAAGTACTTGGGTGCAAACTTCAACTGCTCCAACATGCTGAGAGAAGAAATACAACCTAGAATAGATTTACGAGTACTGATTGACAGCTCTCAGGAAGATATGTGGTATATTGTTGCAGTGATTTGTTTTGTCAGTTGCACTGAACTGTTGGTTAGTCACATTGGACTGTTGCTTACTAGCATTGAACTGCCGGCCAGTTGCAGTGTGCGGTTGGTAAATTCCACTGAACTGTTGTGAAGCTGTAATGAGCTTTGATCAGTTGCAGTGAACTGTTTGTCAGTTGCAGTGAGTGTCTGGTAAGTTGCACTGAATTGTTGTTATGTTGTAGTGAGCAGCTGGTCATTTGCAGTGAGCTTTGGTCAGTTACTGTGAACTGTTTGTCAGTAGCAGTGAGTGTTTGGTAAATTCCACAGAACTGTTGTCCAGCTGCAGTGAGCGTTTGGTCAACTGCACTGAACTGTTGTTCAGTTGCAGTGGGCTATTCTTTAGTTATAGTGAGCTGGTTTTCAGTTGCTGTTGGCTGTTGGTCAGTTGTAGCGAACTGCTCCTCAGTCACACTGAACTGTTGCTCAGTCACGATGAACTGTCATTTGCATTGAACTTTTGCATATTACAGTGAACTGTTACTTGAGTTGTAGAGTGTAGTCAATTAAAGTGAAGTGTTGGTCAGTTGCACTGAACTGTTGCTCAGCTGCACTGAACTGTTGCTCAGTTGCACTGAACTGTTGGTCAGGTATGTGAGTTTGTATATCCTGTTTAGACAGGCACTTTTCTGGTTTGACCTTTCTTAGTCTTTAATTGTCTCTCGTCTTACTACAATGCAGCAGGTTATTACAAAGCACGAGCTTCGAAGCTTTATAAAACCCCATAAGAACTGTACTCGTGAACCAAACGAGGCAGTTCATCAACCTCTATCAATATGTGTGTCCAGCGGTCTCATTATTTCATTCTCTTTCTTTTACCTTCTACTCCTCTCATGATTGTTGGATGCCAATGTGTCAGTTTCACCACTCCCCCCCCCTCCCCCACTCCCCCCTCACTCACCCCCCCCCCCCCCCAACCCAACCCTAGCCTATCTTTACCGAAACTCCAAAATTAGCGCGGCGAAACTCACACGGAATAATAGTCTACGAGTTAGCTCTCCACAATCCGCTAACCTCTCCGGGTTATTATTGTCCGGCAACATTAGAATTTTGCAGTGTGCGGTTGTAAAAGGAAACCACGTCGTTGTAAATGAACAGTAATTTTAAGTAAAGGACAACACTATAGCAACTTATATTTCCTTTAAAAAGCCATAGTAGGGCTTCAAATAACGTACTCTTAAATCTAATCTTCATTGTAGTAAAATCAGACTCACTAAAGGGTAAGAAACCATCGCGTCTGCAGTAAATGGGTGATTATTTGGTTGTCTGGGTGAATGATTTCCGTCAGATAATGGATGTATTAAAATAAACAGAAATACAGAAGAACACGCCCAGTTGTTTAGGGGAGGATGGAAGTGGTATACACGCAGAGCATACAACCAAACTTGGAATATGGGTCAACTGCATGGTGTTCAGCATCCAGTGCCACATTAAAGCAGTTGTACAAAGTGCAAAATCAAGCGCTTATAGTCACCACAGGAGGGATGAAATCAACCTCTCATATTAGAAATGGAGAAAGCTGTGAAAATACAGACACTGAGAAAACGCAAAGATACAAAGTTACAAATGCAAGCTGAAAAGTTCTTCAGTATGCCAGATCACCCACAGAAAAATAGATTTCAGAACCTAGCCTTAGGACGGTTAAAAAGAATCAGCTCTTGTGTGTGCGCGCGCGCGCACACACACACACACACACACACACACACACACACACACACACACACAAATATATAGACAAACTAAAACTACTGACCAACCAGAAATTGGTTGTTCATTTAAAAGTATTCCAAAACAAACCCTTCGGAGAAATAATGCAAACTAACAGTACAAATCCAGACAAATGTAAAAGGAATATTTGATAAGAAAGAGCAAGATAGTATACAAAGCAGGATAGCCACCCTCGTTATATTGATGAAGAATACCTACAAGAACAATGGGTCTGTATCTATACATATGGGTCCGCACAAAGTGCAGTTACAAATGGTGGTGCTGGAGTGTACAAAGTCATTACCCCCCCCCCCCCTTTCCTCCTCCTCAGAACAGGAAACAACGGATTACGTAACCACGTGTACACAAAATTCAAGATAGGCGTATCAGCCATGCACACCTGTGGAAAGGTGCCCCAAACAGCAAAGCATGTACTCCAGGACTGCACCGAATTTGGCACATTAGGGCAAACCTTTTGGCCAGCCAGAACAACAGTGGAGCGTAAACTCTATGGACCACTGAAAGAATTAACAACAACAGTGAAATTCAGGTTTCCGACAGAACAGATCAACGATCAGATATTCATTTTACGGCAAATAACAAAGCATAATTGTGAATATAGTAGAGATGTACATAATGTTTTTGTGGATTTAAAAATAAAGCGTATGATAGGGTACATAGAAACAGTTTATAGCATGCTTTGAAGGACTTTGAAATACCAAAGAAGTTAATTACCATGACCAAACTATGCATGGAAGATACTTGTGGAAGTATATAAAGGCAGAAAGTCAGACATATTTCAACTAACATCTGGTTTAAAGCACGGTGATGCTCTGTCCCCACTTCTTTTCATCTTGGCCCTAGAGAAAGTCATAACGAAATTGAAACAAGGGTGTACAATAGGAGAAGCTACAAGAATACTTGGATATGCTGATGACATTGATATCGTTGGAGAAAACGAAATACAGACTGTTAAAACACTGACTCTCTTAAAAGAATCAGCTCAGAAAATGGGACTGGTTATCAATCAAAATAAGACAGAATACATGCTAATAACTAGATATGGAAAGGATAATAACTCCGGCCACATATAAGTCGATTATATGAAAATCAAACGAACGGAAACATATAAGTACCTGGGTGCAAACTTCAACTGATCCAACATGCTGAGAGAAGAAATACAATCTAGAATACAATCTAAAAATAAAGTATACTATGCCCTTCAACATCTGCTAAAGTCAAAGTGTCTGTCCTGCAACACCAAGATCAAATACATACGTTGATAAGACCAGTCGTTTTATATGGTTCTGAAACTTGGAGCACAACTAAAAATGATAAAGCATTATTACAGGTTTTCGAAAACAGAGCCCTACGACGACTCTTTGGACCCATCAAAGATACAAACAGCGGGAAATGGAAAGTGAGAAGCAATAACGAAATTAATAATCTGTTTAAATTAGGGCTGTACCGAATATTCGCTTCGTATTCGCTTCGAGGCGAATAGTGGACTTAATAACTATTCGGTATTCGGCCGAATACTTGCGGTCGGGCCGAATACGAATA